GCAAATATTTTAAATTATTTTCAAATAAATAGAAGTAGGAATGTAGCAAAAATCTTGAGTTTATGGTTCGGCTCCATAAAATATTCTACTACTTCAAACCATAAGCAAATGTATTCCTAGCTCTACAAATATTTTTCCTGAACACATGCATGTGGTAAATGTATTTCGACCCAAAAAAAAAAACACATGCATGTGGTAAAGCAGAATCTCATTATGTTTCGACAATATAATTCTTAATTTAAACGAAAAATAAACATATGATCTGTACATGTTCATTTCAAATTTTTGTTCAAAGGCACCGATTTCATTTAAAGTTTACAATTGTAAGAGTTTGAATATCTTTAATTTGAATTATTCTCAAACGCATTAGACATACTTAACAGAGACATAATAATCAATCAACTTTTTTTTAGTCTTTTTTCTTCTTCTTCCAGAAGTCGAGAATCAAAAGTAATTGAAGACTAGCCTAAAGCTGGAGCATTCAAACTACATATGACGGCTCCTCTCGCTCTAGATAATTTAATTAAACAATTATTATCTAATCCATAAACAGTTAATTACAAAGAAAATAAATAAAGTGTGAAAGAATAAAATAGTCTTACTCCTCTGGAATACAAATTAAGATAAGTTATCGATTGTGAAGAACGAAAACAAAGTACAGCTACTAAAGGTCTAACTGGTATGAGCAGAATTGTAGAATGGAGATGAATTTTGTTATTAATACACCAATTGCTACAGCTTAATTTAGCAGAGCAAAGAAAAAAAAATTCTCATATACTTGTAAAGGAAAAATAGATAATTTTGAAAACATATTATTTAACTAATATTCTCATATCTGCTAGATTCAGCTACCGTTTAAGTTTTAACTTATTCCGTCAGATTCCGTAAAAAAACACAAAATATTTAGTCAGATTCCGCAATTAAACCAGATTCAACCTTTACCATTTAGACTCGTAGTTTGATATAACGTTTCTTCCAAATTATAAATGTAGTACGAGAAAATCAAAACACACATAAATCAACAAAGATAAATATTTTTCTAAGGTAATTTTATAAATAAATTATTTTTGAAAGTTTTATTTACTTTAGTTGTAAATAGTAAAAATAATTGTAAATTTTGCAAAATAGACTTCTAAAAAAAATATTGATGAAATAAGTTAGGTTCAGAAGATAAATTTTAATAAGAAAAATTATTACTTTATGTGAAATTTAATACATTTATAAACATAAAACAATTCTAAATTGGGGCAATTGCAAAAAGAGAAATTTCAAAAAATACCATATGTTCCATGTCACTTTACAAAAATGCCACATTTTAAAAAGTTTTGCAAAAATGCCACTCTCCTTTTTCAGTATTCCTATATTGTCTTTATCCTTTGTCTCATATAATTTGATTTTTTGTTTTCTATCCGACTTTTTTCCAGATTTTAGATTTTTTTATATTATTTATTTTCAAATCTCAAATTTTGTTTCTTCAGATCTCAACATTTTTTTCTCAGATCTTGTTTCTCTTTTTTTTTTAACTAAATCCCATCTCTTTCTCTCAAAACTAGATTAAAAACGTGAATTTGAATTTCATAAAAAACAAACTTAAGATGAGATTAAATTTTGTGGATTGAGAAGAAAGAGAAGGAAGAGGAAAAGAGAAAAAAAAACT